TTCAAAAGAATCTAATGTCTAAATTGTTGTTGAGTAAAAAGATTTTTAGGTTAGTTTTTGAGTCTGACAAATTTGCACTCACCAAAAGTGAGATTTATGTAGGCAACATATATATGAGTGATAGGCTCTTTCAGACGAATATAATGACAATTGTATCTGATATTAATAATAAGAACGCATCTTCTGCTTATATGTTTGAGTCTTCCAGCGTATGGCCTGATAGATTAGAACATGTTAATTTTGATATTTTGCATAAATTAATGAATTTAAAATTGCTGCCTAAATTCAATATTGATGCAAATTATAAATGTGAAATATGTGTTGAATCAAAATTAACTAGAGTATAATTTCATCATATTGAAAGAAGTACTGAACCTCTAAAGTTAATTCATAGTGATACGTGTAATTTGAAATACGTGCAAACTAAAGGTAGAAAGAAGTATTTTGTTACGTTTATTGATGATTGCACAAAATATTGCTATGTATATTTGCTAAAGAATAAAAATGAAGCATTGAAAAAATTTATGCATTATAAGGATGAGGTTGAGAATTAACTTGGCAAAAAGATTAAAACAATAAAAAGTGATCGAGGTAGTGAATCTTTCAATAGGTTATGTCAAGAATATAGTACTATTTACCAAACTTTTGATTCTTATACACCTCAGCAAAATAAGATGACTGAACGTAAAAATAGAATATTGAAAGAGATGATGAATGACATGTTGATTAGTTCGAGATTACCTCAAAACTTGCAAGGAAAAACTTTGCTTTCAGCAAACTATATTTTAAATAAATTACCCTATAAGAAGTTAGAAAAAACCCCTTATGAATTATGGAAATGTTAGAGTACTTCCTACAAATATTTAAAAGTGTGGGGGTGTTTAGCTAAGGTGATAATTCCTATTTCCAAAAGGATTAAAATAAAACGTAAGACTATTAACTGTATATTTATTAGTTATGCAATAAATAGCAGTGCGTATCATTTTCTCGTGCATAAATTTGATATTCCTAATGTACATGTTAATACAATCATTGAGTCAAGAAATACATCATTTTCTGAAAATGTCTTTCCTAGTAAAAATGCATGTCATGAGAGTCCTCTTAAAAAAACTCATGATACTGCGACTAATAATACAGACTATGAGTCAATAAATGAAAAAAGTGAAGAGACGCTTAGATGCAATAAGAGGGCAAGGACTTTCTAGTCCTATGGTCTAGATTTTCTAACATATTTGTTGGAAAATGAGCCTTAAAGCTTCAATGAAGCGATGTTCATTCTTGAAGCACCTATGTGGAAAGAAGTAATAAACAGCAAAATTGAATTCATCAGACAAAATCACACCTGGGAGTTGGTAGATCTTTCTCCAGGGAGTAAATCATTGGAGTGTAAATGAATTTTCAAAAAGAAAATGAAAACTGATGGATCAATTGATAAGTATAATGCTAGACTTGTAGCTAAAGGTTACAAACAAAAGGAGATCTTGATTACTTTGTTACATATTCTCCTGTCGCGAGAATAATATCTATTCATATGCCCATAGTTATTGCAACATTGTATAATCTTGAAATACATTAAATGGATGTGAAAATAGTTTTCTTAAATGGTGACTTAAATGAGAATATTTATATGGACTAACCCGAAGGGTTTGTTTCTCCAGGGCAAGAGAAGAAGATGTGTAGACTTGTTAAATCATTTTATGGTTTAAAACAAGCACCAAAACAATAACATGAGACATTTGACAAGGTAATGATGTCAAATGATTTCACAATTAATGAATGTAAAAAATGTGTCTATGTCAAAGACACAAATAATGAATATGTCATTGTTTGCCTATATGTGGATGATATGCTTATTTTGGGTAGTAATAATAATATTATTACAACTATCAATATAATGTTGTCCAGTAAGTTTAACATGAAGAATTTGGGTGTTGCAGATGTTATACTACGAATTATAGAACATCTGGTCGACTTATATTATCTCAATCACATTATATTGCGAAAATACTTGAGTAGTTCGATAAAGATGAAAGCAACATTGCTAGAACAATGAACTGCACTAGACCGGATATAACATACTCAGTTAGTAAATTGAGTAGATATACGAGTAATTCGAGAATAGACCATTGGAAGACAATTATCAGGGTTCTTAGATACTTAAGATATACCCTGAATTTTGGATTGCACTATACAAGATATTCAGCTGTACTTGAAGGGTGTAGTAATGTTAACTGGATACCTGATATGAAGGATACAAAATCCACAAGTTGTTATGTTTTTACACTTGATAGTGCAGTTGTATCTTGCAAAATCCTCTAAGCAAAAGTGTATTGTCAGATCCACAATGGAATCTGAATTTATTATTTTAGATAAAACAAGAAAGAAAGCTGAGTGGCTTTCCCAATTTCTTAACGATATTTCAATATGACCAAAACCTGTGCCAGTAATTTGTATATATTACGATAGTCAATCTGCCATTAGTAGGGCACATAGTGTCATATACAATGGTAAGTCTAAACATATACGTCGTAGACATAATACAATTAGACAATTGTTCTCAAATGAGATTATTTCTATTTATTTTATAAAATCAAAGGATAATCTATCGGATTCGCTTACTAAAAGTTTGATGAGAGAGCAAGTAAATTGCACATCGAGAGAAATAGGGTTAAAGCATATGACATAAAAGTCACCTTAATAGCAACCCAACTTAGTTGACTAGAGATCCCAAGATCTAAGTTCAAAGGAAGAACTGAATTACGCATGATTCAAAAGAAGCACTAAAGGGATAATCTCTCCTACCTATTCCTATGATAAACTAATGCTGCCTGCAGAGTTTATTTAGGGTAATCTATACTTTTAATGACTTTTATACCTTGAAAATTCAAGTGGGATATTGCAAAATATTCTTAATAGGGGTCACCTATATGGGTGTAAAGGGGTCGTTTCTGTGAGAATTTATAATAGCTAAATTTTCTAAAGCACTCATGAAAATCAAGAATTGTTCAGGACCAAAATGAACACAGTCATGAGAACCAATTGTGTTAGAAAAATGACGGTGTGAATTCTATTTGATCTGATTTATCAGACAGCTGAATAGTTCAAGATATCACGTTCACTATTTAGCTGGTAAATCTGATGGACTTTCACTAGGAAAGGTTCAAGTCCAAAAGCTACATATCTCGATGCACAATCTTTTCAAAGATGTACTCTTTATAGTGTGTCAGCATTATTATTTGCATACTAACAGCCAATTTTTCATTTATGTGGGGGATTGTTAAACCAAAACAGTTTTTTAAGTGTAAAAACTTAATTTTTGGTCGACTTTGAGCCTAAATTGAAGTGGGACTCGTTCGTTGTTTCAAGTAAACTTTCATGGGTTCGTATTTTACTCCATGATGAGAATAATTTAGTATATTTACTTGCTCAAATCGAGTAAGAAATAATTGAAAACATAGACTTTAAAGTGACCCTCTTGAAATGTGAAAATAGAGGTTGTGCAATGTGAGATTTTGACACCAATCTCACGATGGTTAAAGAAGAAATTTTACATGAACATATATAGGTCACGTTTGCTCTACGAGATTAGGCCCCAAGGGGTACCACAATTTTATGAGCGGAATGAGCACCTACATTTTATGAGATTGGTTCTCACACGCACGCACGTTGCCCGATCGGGCTCGGGCACGGGTGTGGATGTAGCCAAGCCCTATCTTTTTGGAGAAAATTTATTTAATTAATTGAGCGTAAATTTCTTAATGCAAAATTTAATTTTTGGTATTTTTTGGATCATACTAGTTCAGATTTTTTGCTTCCCTCCAATCCAAAATCTGAGTTGTGTTCATTCATAGAGAACAGTTACACAAGTGGTATCTTCTGGCTGCATGTGTATGCTAGGTTGCATTCGTTCATATGGTGACTATCCGGATCAGTCACCATTCTCTCTATAAATAACGCAGTCACATAATCATTTTGCATCCAATACATTCTTAGTCATTTAAGGCAGTTTCATATATCATTAATGCAATTTGCATTTACATAGTACACAATACAATTGTTGATTCGATAGGCGTTTATATTCCATAAACACCGTGTGTTGGAGCGAAATCTGTATTAAGGACATAGTGTCAAACACTAGTCTTGATCTACTTAAAGTTCAATAATACTTCATGTTCTACAAACGGGTTAGTATTTATATTGGTTAAACAAACAGTTATGTGTAATTGTTTCGGTAAGACTGTTATAACTGTTTTGTTAATTCTTCCGTAATTATTTTAATTTTCTGTATAACTGTTTTGTATTTAAGTGTTACTGTTTTGTTATACATTACATGTTTCAAATCATAAATTTTAATAAGTGATTTTATTATATTTGAAATACTACAAATAACAGTATTAATTTGCATCGTGTTTGAGCGGACATGAGAATTCCAAGACTATGACTTCTTTCTCTCCCAANGTGTTACTGTTTTGTTATACATTACATGTTTCAAATCATAAATTTTAATAAATGATTTTATTATATTTGAAATACCACAAATAACAGTATTAATTTGCATCGTGTTTGAGCGGACATGAGAATTCCAAGACTATGACTTCTTTCTCTCCCAAGCAGCCATCAGTCCCCTATAAACTAAAAATACACTTTATTTTATGTGGTATCAAAAACGAAACTGAAAAAATAAATCGAAAAAGCCTAGAATCAAGAATTTTTTTAAAAGAATAGACATTCTATTCACACAATATCAGTTGAATGGGCTTATCATGTGAAAATCATGTTTGACATCCAACTAAGTCATTTATTATTCGTACTTGTGGGTGGTGGGACTTCTAAATGTATGTTTAGACCACCAATTTCATTTTTAGTTTGCGCCGGGACAAAAATTTTGGACATATTTACAAATATAATTATGCTATTTATATAGCTATGCATCTAAATGACTTCTATAAAATAATATACTTTTGGTTTTTCAATTAATTGTTTTTGCTTAAAAAAACATCTTACATGAAGTTTGGTACACATACCTCAAATTCAAGTCCGTCGCAAACAAATGTCAAGCAAATTTCAAGCACTCTGAACTCAAAAGGCAGTAGTAGCTTTGAGCTACCCATTTTTGAAGTGTTCATTAGGCTGCCATCACTTGCTTCCCCCTTTACACCCTTATCACACTTTTCAACAGCCTACACACATGAACACCATGGTTACTACTACTACTACTACTACTACGAGTACAATGTGACACGAAATTTTGATCAAATTATCATAATTTTGAATTAATATTTTTAGTTACGGTAGTTTTTGAGTCATTTCTTTTTTGGGTTGTCATAAAAGCATGGATTTTTCAAGATAAAAAAGTATTGTTAAAGTAAAAGCGTGTTTTCCAGATATACTGAACGTAGAGAGAGAAACATATAGGTTTATTTTGGAGGGAAGACAAAAAAAGATATGTTATATAGCCGATATAAAACTCATTTTCTTGTGATATTTCATTGAAAATTTGGACATTTCACCATTATTTATGTATTCCACTGATAACTCTTATAGATCAAAATTAACCATCGGGGAATCTTTAGGTAAACAAATACAAACATCTGTATGCTCTCTTTCCCTCTCTCCTCCCAACCCAAATAAAGTAAGAACGCTACTTTCACAACCAATTCCAAGGTAAATCTACCGTACTGAATGAGGTATTGTATCAAAAGTTATATATTTTTTAGTCTAAGATATAATTTTTTTTGTCAAAACATAGGGAAAAAAAAGGTTAAAATCGATCATAAAATATTACGCTCAAACAACATTGTTGTGATCTCAACAAATTAGTGTAATAGTACTCTTGTTTTATAGTGATTTTGATGTAATAAAGTTACGGCACTGCTATTGGAAGCTAATTTACTAACCTAATTCACTGTAATTTTTAAATTGACTGTGAGTGCTATCAAATATTAGAATTTGGTATTGATCTAATGATTCCACCGAAATCACATCATTATGTAAGCAAATTATGTGAGATTTTTAGATACAAATAAGATTATTCCGAAACTTAACAAATATTGCTTAAACTAGAAAATGAATATGTGGGGAGAAAAAAGACTTACAATTGCTTTGGAACCATCAAAGCTAGAAAGTTTGAGCTCAAGATCTCTAACAAATGGAGAAACAGATGGATCCATTGGATTCAGAATCAGCGTCTCATTTGCTGTGATGATAGCTCTGATACTCTCCAAGTTCACAACAATGGCTTTCTGTCTCCCCAGTATTGTCGCCGTGTAAGAAAGTTTAGGATCAAGAATCCTAAGATCACGGGCAGAAACTCGGGTTCTGCGCATGATCGCATGCTTCCCCACCTCCTCCACGTACGATTTTCCAGCCTCCGAAACAACCAGCCAAGGCCTTGTTTCGACGAAACTCTTCCACCGTCTTAACGGAGTCGACAAGGCAATCTCGCCGGAATCCACCATGCCCGTCGTCCCAAATTAGGGTTTCTTATATTACAAGTTTTTCTCCTAACAAAACAGGCTGGACTTTCTTCAACCTAAATAACAAAGGATTGGAATACAAAGTTGTCTTGGCCCGCGAAAGATCAACCTAACAACAACTCTCTTCTTTTTCTATAGATAAAACCAGGACACACCATTCGAGTTTGATACTCAAATCGAGAAGGAAAAAAAAGGGCAATAAGGTAATCGAAGAAGATAAGCAAGTCGGATTTTCAAGTTGGATTGATTATACTGGGTTTTTTTGGAGATTGAAGAGAAAGTATTGTGGATTAAACTAAAAATGATGAAGAATCAAGGTAAAACCTGTGTTGAGAATTGAGAGTTAAAAAACAGTTTGATGACGGATTAATCAGTACGGCGTTGTCCGATGATAGCTCGGACTTGTGATTTTTAAATAATTTTCATGGCGGGGAGTGAGAACTAGGGATGGTATTAGCTTGTCCAGTTGATGTTTGGGTGGGTTTCATTAGTGATGTAATCCCACCAGAATCCCTTACCTACTCAAAAATTTTGCTTAGTTAATAACTTTTGTTTTTGTTTCAATTTGTATTATTCTCCAAAAATATCATGCACATTTTTATTAATTTCTATATAATCAATGGTGAGGGTGGGTGTTGGCAATAAGATTGTTTTATTGTGTTTGGCAATCAAGTTTGTGTTCGAGTCGCAAAAATCATCTCTCCGCACACACATACATTTGACTCTCTCAAAACTCTATAGAGACGCTGACGCAGGGGTCAATTATATTAATGTTAATATAATTGATGAAAAAATAAAATTATAAATTATAAAACTTAAGCTAAATATCATAAATTCAAATGGTGTTTTATGTTGCCATTAACAACATAAATAAATTCTCAACAGGGTTAAATCAAATCTCCAAAACTCTAAATTTTTATATTTTTGGATACTAAAATAAAATTGAACTTAATTGAATATATATTTAAAAAATTTATTTAAATATTAGACTTAATTAAACCTCCATAAAATGGGGCCCTAATAATTATAATGGCTATGACATTGTGCTGGCCTGGCAGTGATGAGCCTTATGTGCTGAGTGCTTTTTTTAAATATATAATTGAGTAATTTATTTGAAATTATTATTTTTGTGTATCTCCTAAAAAAACATCAATTATATTATCTAAATGAGAACCCTACTACTCTTTACAATTAAATTTGGGTTGCATTTGCTCTATAAATTATTCAACATTTCAATTATTTGAAGATACAAATATTATTTTAATTAAATTAAAATTGATATAAAATTATATATGAAAATTCAACTGATGTTTCCTGGAATAAAATTAAAACAAAACATTATGTTGAATGATTTGATGTGAAGAAAGATAGAATTTATTGGTAATTTTTATAAAAGAAGTATATAGCATGAGAGTTTGTTTTGCCAATATGATTAAGTATTTTTCTCCTTTTTTTTTTTATTAAAAATGCTAAAGTATCCAAAATTTTGACGACATTTGTAGTTTGTTTTGAGCTGGTTTAAAACCTCGGGTTTTTTTTTTTTTTTAAAAAAAAAAACCTATTATGTTTGTACCCAAGCTTATTCTAAAAACCTTTTTAACACTTTGTATTTTATTTTTCAAACTTCTATTTGGTACCAAAAAAAAGTTAACACAGGATCCCAATGGAGTAAAACCCCGAAGGCGTTGAGAAGCTTTCACATTATTTTAAGTCATAATTTTAGTCAACTAAAGCAGTATAATTAATTCACATCAATGTGAAGGAGTCATGTATGACATAAGTGATGACTACATAATTTTATGAATTTTTTTACGTACTAAAATTCAAACTAATTAAAATTTAATTTTAATAGACTTAAATCAAATTACATTAAATTTTAAATAGCTCAAATTTTGATACTTAAAAAAGTATATATTTTAATGAAATTAAATTATAATTCATAAAAAAATTTAATCAATTTGTATCGAATTTTAATTGACACAAATTTTAATAAGTAAAAAAATATAAATTTTAATATATTTGAATCGAATTTTAATCAGCGCTAACAGCTCAGGTTGAGCTCAAGTTGGCTCAAATTTTTATATGTACAATAAAAAATTTTAATAGGCTCGAATTTTAATACGCTAAAAAAATAAAATTTAATCAACTTGAATTAAATTTTAATATGCTCTATGTAGAAAAACGAATTTTAATAAACTCAAATTTTAATATTTAAAAAAATAAACTTTAATTGACTCGAATTATAATCGAATTTTATGTAAAAATATTGTTTGAGATTTATGTAGGGGCCATTTTTTGGTATTTTTAATGATTTATTTTTGTTAGAAATTGTAGTTTAACGACATGAGGTGACAATTATGTTTAAACGCAAACTAAAAATGATGTCAATGACCTTCAGAAAAAAAAAAATGATGTCAATGATGTTATAGATAATAAAGGGAACAACTTTGAAGATATTATAAATAAAATTTTTCTTAAAAAAAATTAATACATAATCTTAAAAATTATAAATTTTATTACGAGAACGTATTTGGTACTGTAGTCTTTTACAGGCAGTCGAGCGGAGTTGAATTGATTATAGGGATAGTTGACCTTAGTGTGAATGCATGCATGGACAGAGAGGTAGCAGTTCGATTCGCCATCCCCAACCCCCTTGAATGATGGCCAACAAAAAAGAAGTCAACCATATAACAAAAAATTTTAATATGATTCAGAGCATACTTAGAACATTTTTTATAACAAGGTCTTGAAGATCCCAAGAACACAAAGCTTAGGAGTTAGGACATGGAATCAGTTGCAGCGGTATATCTGATAGTTTTTGTCTCTTGAGTTGTTTATTTTAGTCAAAAATTTGTGAAAACAGTATATATTCGTGGGCCAAGTGGAGAAGGAGGAGAGAACCATTAGTTTAAGTGGTAAACGGAGACGAATTATAAATTGAGTAATGCTATGGAGATCTAATTTATTGATCTAATTTACTATAACTTTTGGATTGACTATGGGCTCCATCAAACATTGAAACTTGGTGTTAATCCAATGAAGCAACGTCATTAGGTCATCAAATTATGTCAGTTGTTTTTAGGTTTAAATAATATTTTCCTTATAAATTTAGATATTTTGAATTTTAATTTTAATAATTTTTTGGAACATAAGAAATTTATCTCTTGTGAATACCCTAATTTTAACGTGAATGACTTGTCTCTTTGATTGGATAGGGGAATAAGGGCGGAGTCAAGAAAAATATTTAGGGCAGGCACATTAACACGTTTAAATTTTTTTTTTTTTTCAATTGATCGTAGAAGTTTATAAATTCATATTTATTAAAATTATTTTTAATATTTAAAAGTTCAATAAACATAGAAGATTAAAAATCGATATGCATGGAATGAATAAAAAAGATAATTAAAATTTCTTATCAATCAAGAATGAGACTAATTATTGTTGCTTACAATAGAACGTGGTATGTTTTATTATTTGAAAGAGTTACAAATCAATCTTATCGACAATATTTTTTTTATATATAAAATTGTAGTGACAATATTTCATTTATGGTCTTATAGTTTACCACAAACGACACATCTTTTTTTATAAAATAACGAAATAAACCTACAACTTAAAAAAAATTAAAATAACCTCAATATGTTCAAAACATATTTGGATATACCTGAAACATGTTTAAAAATTAACAATAATATTAACTGCACCTAATTTGATATTTAATTAACGAAAACCCAATGGTTTGTGACTATTGACAAAACTATTAGATAGATAGTGGAGTTTATTAAACATTGATACTCACTATTATATTTAATATCACAATGTATTATGTCATTAAATTAGATCTCAATAATATTATTCGAAAAGTTAACAATCATTCAGTTAAAGATCTATTTAAATGGATATCACTAAAATAGAATAATAGGGTGAGCACAGTTAAAGATATTTAAATTTTATTTCAAAAAATACGTGTGTAATATAAAGGGAAAAAAAATGAGTTTGGGGGAAGGGGCATGTGCCCACCCTAGTCCAGGGTGGTTCCGTATCTATAAGAGAGGGGGTCAAGATGTGTGTAAACTATTTTACACACCTCTGACCATTGAATTAAAAAAAAAAAAAAAAGACGCATAGAGTGGAGGCGAAGAGGGAAGTGAATTTTTTACTGTTAGGGTCTTAGTTTTAATTTGTGTCTTTCTTAACGTTGTATGAGTGACTTTAGCATTGAAGAAGATTTTTTGAGTTTTTTATTGGAACTTAAATTTTAGTCTAAAGGGTAAAGACGAGAAATGCTAATTAGAAATTATAATTCTGATTTTTTTTTTTATCATTATGTTTTTAATCTTAAAAGTCATGTGATGTGAGGTTTAAGTTAGCCATGTTCTAATTTAAGGCAACTCTGTAGACATACAAGAATTATTATTATTATTTTAATTTAATAATTAAAAATATTTAAATCAATTTACGCGTTCAACTTTCTTTCTTTCACTTTTTCGTTTCGGATTTTGTGCGCGTGTGAGCTAAAGAGGAAAAAGGGTAATTTCTAATGGGTTGAGAGAGGCGGAGAGTTTAAAAGTGGGAAAAAAATACAGGAGGACATAAAAAAGGTAAANGAAAATTCAACTGATGTTTCCTGGAATAAAATTAAAACAAAACATTATGTTGAATGATTTGATGTGAAGAAAGATAGAATTTATTGGTAATTTTTATAAAAGAAGTATATAGCATGAGAGTTTGTTTTGCCAATATGATTAAGTATTTTTCTCCTTTTTTTTTTATTAAAAATGCTAAAGTATCCAAAATTTTGACGACATTTGTAGTTTGTTTTGAGCTGGTTTAAAACCTCGGGTTTTTTTTTTTTTAAAAAAAAAAAAAACCTATTATGTTTGTACCCAAGCTTATTGGACAGTTTTTTCATCAATTTTTTGTACAAAAATAGTTTTTATCAACACAAAAAACTGAAAAATAGAACTTATTCAAGAACTTTC